GAATTTACCCATTTTGATGTAACTGTTTTTGTAGCCTGTGACTTTAAATAAAAATGAGCTGCTTCTCCCTGCCCACCGTTCCCACGTGCATGTCTGCTTCTCATCATTCATTACGTCAGATAAACAGCGGTCAGTGATAGAGACAGACACGGACAAAGCTGAAATAGCTCACTAGTTAAAAAGTAAGTTTATTTCACGTATTTGTGATGGAGTTTATTTAAGATTTTCTAAAAACAATGAGTACTGCCGTTTGCAGTACCATATAACATGATTGCAGTACAATATATATATAGGGTAGTGTTTCTACTGTTACTAACAAAAGAAGATATTCTGAAGAATGTTGATTATCAAACAGATGACAATACGAATGACTTCCACAGTGGGAAAGAATATCATAGATATCTTCCCAAAATTCTTAAAGGGTTTTTGTTGTATATTGTTCTAAACAAAAGAAAGAAACTAATATAGCCTAGTTTTGAGCAAGGATAGGGTGAATAAAAAAAGTGACAACATTGTCATTGTAAGTTAAACCCTTACTTTTTATCAGAAAACTAATTTACTTACAGTTATTAGTAACTTTGTAGCTAATTACACCCAACACTGCTTGTATCATGGGGTATCTACAGGATGAAATAATGTCAACTCTAATCGGTACTGGATTTCGTTATTTATTTATTTGATAAGTAGCTGTGTAATAAGGCGGATTATGCACAGTCAGATTGTTATTATCGTAAAACAAACACATTCAGGGTGATACGAGGGTCCGGATTCCCCCTGTCTGGGTTTATATTACGATAATGGCTAGCTAGCTGTATATTATCTTTTACTCAAGGATTACATATGAACTGTTGGAGTAGGTTTTAGGAAGACAATGTGCATCGAGATAAAATTGTTATGACGTGTTCTGTTCATTATAGATGGTATAAAATTGACCAGCTTGTTCCAAAATTAATCAGGCTTTGTCAAGTTTGTCTTATTAGTGGACAAACTTGGGTTATGCTGTGTGTAGCTCCTTGTTTTAAAGCATGATCTAAAAAATCTAAATGTTTTAAATAATAATAAAAAAAATTATAATAGTAATTTTGCATTGTTGACCATTAAAGTCCACATTAACCAGTAAATAAATGGTTGGAGGGGAGTGACTACGCATATTTTGCCCATTCTGTCAAGCCGACATTATTAGAGAAGGTCTGCCAATCCAGAGTGGAAGCAGATAGTTAGATTTTGATTAAAGATTACCCAAACTAACTTTTCAGTGGATTAAGTTGGGCAGAACAATTGTTCACCTTAAGCTATATAAACGCTAACAAAATATTCATTTTCCACTTAGTCCTTTTATTAATCTGGGGTCGCCACAGTGAAATGAACCACCAACTTATCCAGGTTTTACACAGTGGATACACTTCCAGCTGCAAACCATCACTGGGAAACATCCACACACACTCATTCACACACATACACTATGGACAATTTTAACCCACCCAATTCACCTACCTCATGTTTTTGGACTTCTGAGGGAAACCGGAGCACCCAGAGGAAACCCACACAGGGAGAATTTGCACACCAAAAACGCCAACTGACCCAGCCGAGGCTCGAACCAGCAACCTTCTTGCTGTGAAGTGAACGTGATACCTACCACACAGCCCCGCTAACAAAATAAAATATATTTTGGTTTCATGCAGTATTTGGGAAGTTCAAATCACTGAATAGTCTTTTTACAAGTCTGAGGCAGGCAAATAAAGCTAAATGGCTATCCTTTAGATTGCTTATAAATGTGTTGCTCAAACAAAAATGTGGTTTCAAATATTTCCCTTTGGAGTGTGTTTTCTGTGTGTCAAGACTGTGGGTAGTCAGTTTGTGTGTTGGGAAGGTTTACAACATCGCTGTACGTGCAAATGGCTTGTTAAATAAAAAGCTATACGTGCAAGCTCCACATTACAGTGCTGTTACAGTGCGGTGATATGTAAACCAACAAAAACAGTAAAAGCTCAATTTTGGCAGCTGAGGGAAACTTCTGAAACACCTTTAAAGAATGGCAGCTCATTCTGTTAACAGCCTTCACCTGCCAAATTAAGGTAGCTGCATGTGAAACTACATTAGGAAATGCATTTACGGTACATGTCGACGAGAAGGCCAATAACTGCATATTGTATTAATAACCATAAGATATTCTTTTATGTTTTGGATGGTTGTATGTTTGATTCCATCATAGATGTTAATCTGAAATGCAGAGCACCCCTGCTGAGAAACTGAACAAGAAGACCCACCACGACGCTGCTAACCTCAGGTTTGGATATGGGTCTGTTTTACAGACATTCTCATGGTGCTTTAACAGTGAGAAGTTGTGGAAACAAGTGTGTGTGAAAGAGAGAGCTTGTGGTTGAATTAAAAGAGAATAAGATGGAATAGTTTTGCACAATATAATTAAGAAGGCTGTTTAAACCTTTAATAGCATTTGATTTACATTAAAAGGGCAGTTCAGTTGCATGCTGTTCCTAATTTATAGCAATGAAACTTACATCAGAGTGTCCAATTATGATCATTTAAAGTTTTGTTTTACAGCTATGAACATTAAAAAAAAACTCTACCTAAACTTTTTTTACCAATAAACTTAATATTTAAATATTGGCAAATATAATGTTAAAATATAAAGCATTCATTTAGACATCTGCACACTGTGTAAATTTTTTTAGCATCCATTATGCTTGTAATTAAGATTCTGAAACATAATGGTTAACCTGGCTATCGACAGGTAGACCACATCTGATAACACATTTTGCCAACTGTGTAATGTGACTTGTGACACTACTTTAAAAAATGTAAATGAGTCAGTAAGTAAAAACTCTAAACAACATTGCTGTTGGACAAAGCACTTTAGGGTAGTCTGTTAGCCAATATAACCAAAAGGTGTCAGGTTAGTTTTGTGTAACACTTTTTATTTACTTGTTCATAGTATTTATTTACTTTGTTTGTGTATTTTGGGGAACTAAGTACTGAAACTTAATATATGAAATAAAAAAATAATAGCTTTTTAAACTTTTATTTAATGTTTAAAGTGGAGATCCATTTAGATCCACCTTGGAAAACACAGCAAGTTTCTCATATGATATATCTACTAAAAGACAGAAAACATGACAAACTGTATTCTAAAAAAAAAATCAAATTAACACTTTCATATTAGTCAATATTATTACTTAATTTAATTTAAAACTGAATAAATATAAATTTACACATTTACACAAGTAATAAATAGACTTAATGATTAGCAAAAATTCTGCAAAAATCTGCAAATTTCTGCACACGCAGATTCCGTGTAGGCCTACTTATATGCTAAATTTACCATTTTATAACACATTGCACCTGCAGCAAGGATCAACCAAAATATATATACACATACTGAAAGCAAAATTTCGTAAATACTGACTTGATTATTACATTTTAAGTTATTTGATTGATTGATTGATTGATTCATTGATTGATTCATTCAGTGATTCATTCATTCATTCATTTAGCGCAACACCCATATTTTAACCAACTATCCTGGTGTAGGTGGTAAAAAAAAAAAAATCAGGGTTTGACTTCTAATGCTTTGCCTATACTGCCACCCTCTGACCAACATAGGCTACCTGTTTCCTAAAAGTTTTTTTTTTTTTTTTTTTTTTTTGGTACTGTTGGTAGAAAGCAAAACAAAATAGATAATTCATACATTAATGTAAAAATTAAGATGGACTGAATTCATATGATGTTAAACAATACTTGGTGCTGACAAGGATAAAACAGAAATATATGATTATTAAAAAATTTAAAATAAATAGTTCTTAAATAAAAACTTACCTACCCGGTTTGTGTGTGTGTGTGTGTGTGTGTGTGTGTGTGTGTGTGTGTGTGTGTGTGTGTGTGTGTGTGTGTGTGTGTGTGTGTGTGTGTGTTTTAAAATTCAAAATTGAATTTTGTTTGCCCTTTATTATCTTAGCTTTTTTCTATCTGTTTATTGATGTATTTTTGTGTGTATCTGTTAGCTTTATTTTTCGTATGCCGTAAAGGAGATTCATACAATAAAGTTTATTAATATTTTTATTAATGTTGTTATTATGTTAAGACATTGTGTTTGCAAAAGCTATCTATATTTCTATCTTTATATATTATTATTAAGCACAACAACAATAATAATAATAATAATAATCACAAACATAAATTCTGTGCGTTTATGCAGGTTGATCATCTTTATTTCAATAATGTTATTTTGCTATATATTAATAAAAATGCTGAAAGAAATGCATTATTATTATTGTTATTTTCATCATTAATATTATTATTAGTCGTTTTAATTTAGAATATTCTTCTCACACCTGTGATTTTTACATATACAGCTGAAATCAGAATTATTACCCACCTACTCCCTTTGAATTTGTTTTTTTTTTTTACCTTTTTAAATATTTCACAAATTATGTTTAAAAGAGCAAGGAAATTTTCACCATATGTTTGATAATATTTTTTCTTCTAGAAAAAGTCTTTTTTGTTTTATTTCGGGTAGGTAATTTTTTTTTTTTTACATTTTAAGTTCAAAATTATTAGACCCTTAAGCTATTTTTTTCAATAGTCTACAGAATAAACCACCTAATTAACCTAGTTAAGTCTTTAAATGTTACTTTAAACTATATGGAAGTGTCTTGAAAATATCTAGTCAAATATTACTTACTGTTATCGTGACAAAAATAAAATAAATCAGTTATTAGAACTATTATGTTTAGAAATGTGTTGAACAGATCTTCTATCAGTTAAACAGAAATTGGGTGCAAAAATAAACAGGGGGGCTAGTTCAGGGGGGTTTGACAATTCTGACTTCAGCTGTATATCCGACCTGCTGTAACAGGTGATTTCCCTTCCCATCATGGCTTCTCTCTGACGCTGGCTGCGTATTCCACGTCGGCAAAGGAACGTCGGCGCCTGTCGTCAGATCCGCAAGGCATTTCGGGCTGCTGGAGGCTGATTCGCCCAATAATACAAACAAGCCGCCGGACATAGTGGAATCGGTTGAACATGCGAATAAACGCTTGCTTGTGATTTAACATAAACTCAGCCTTCATGAATGCACGCTGTTATTGTCTCTGCACTCTTTCGGAAGTGTCAGGGTTTGATTGCGCGTGAACCAGGATAAATATCCAGCACGCGTGACAAATAGCTCATCCTAGAGAAGGAAACGCACAGGTAAGATAATCATTTATATGTCTTTATCTTTATTCATGCAGCCCTTATGCCACTTAGCAGACGCGGGTTAAGGTTTATGTAGTGCGCTGTGGTGAAGAATAAAACACGACGTCAACAGAAATAATAATAATGGGCGGCTATAACTTACGGTCCTAATGTGTTTTATTTATCTTGTTTTCATTTATGTTTGTAATATAAAATGGAAGGCCACTAAGCGACATGAACTGCCTCTTGGACGCTGGATATTTGAGCCAGAAGGCTGTACCTGGCACATTATTACAGTGATGCCATATGTGATCATGCCGTTAGGGCGATAATGTATAAAAAGTATATTTTTGAAGTCGAAATAACGTGCTTTTTTATTTTATTTTTTTGTAAAAATGTATTTAAAGTGTTATTTTCATCTCGAGTTTGTACAGCTGTCACAGTTTGCCTGTTCCACCTGTTCACCCAGGACAGGTTGTTTGGTTCGAGTTTTGACAGAACACAGATCAAGCATTCGTTTACCGACTGTTTAAACCACTAAATCCTTTTGTTCATGTACTTAAAATAAAAAAAATAGTATTACAGTTTTTTAACGATTTATTGTTTAACACTTGAGTAAAGCACGGGCCAATAACGTTCCAGTGTTGGCAGCGAAGGGGTTGGATTTGCTCTTTCCCTATTTACCACTTCTTGCATCGCAATATGCCCGTTTGCATAGGCCAACTAACGTTATTTAGTAGATGACAAACAGTTTTGCATAGTGTAGCGTGACGATATGTTCTGACGAGATTCTGTGGCATCTGAAGGACACGTTTTACTATCCCATATGGCCATTGACAACAAGAAAGGAAAGGCTGATGACTTTACAAAGCTATGCAACTGCCTGTAGTTTACATGACAGATAGACATTGTGGGATGTAGCCTAGTATTTCCATATTTCATTGATAGAACACATTCATACTGTATAAAACATACTATTAACGGTTAAGAGGCAAGTTTCCAATCAAATGTAATTCAATTTAAATTGATTTAGGAGTACAGCAGCTGTCTAGACTTATTGTTAACAAACCAGAGATACAATTGGTTTTTATATCCATTTGGCCACGAAATAGCCATAAGTTGCTGATGTGGCAATAAATAAGTAATAAATAAATTAATTAATAAATGCAATTAGTTTTTGAGAGAGAAATGCTTATGACAGTCTTACTAAAACCTTTTAGCATATTTGTAAGCATGCATATTTTAGTTTAGGTCTTTTTTGAAAACAAAATAGTTGAGTGAATGATACAATGACTCTCTCATAAACTCACATCCCATGTCTTTGCACTTGCCCGGATTGGCTAATCTGGGGAACCGGGAGAATTCCCAGTGTACTGGTCCATTTTTGGCCAGCGAGGTGTCCCTAGCTGCTTGCACTCTAAGCAGTCGCACTTTTTCATTTATTTTTTATTTGACCATAGACTCACTCTTCTTATTTATTATTTTGCCGCAGCTCCGATCTTTTTATTTATTTTCTCGAACCCCCTTGAGCAAAATGCAGCCTGCAGGTTAATGATGACCCCAAACAGCAGCACCCTAGTGAATATAAGAATTTGAATAATTAATACTAATGAATATTACACCTGCTCAATGAAAATCAGATGATTCATTAAATTAATTAATCTGACATAACTTGATTAGAAATCTGAAAAGGGGAGAAAAAGATTAAGCCATCAATAAAAAGTAAGACTGTGGTGAAGAGTCTTGCAGGTGCAATCCTTACTTTTCTTTTCAATCGCGCCAGCATAACAGCGCCACTGTGGTCCAGTGGTCAGCACATTGCGTTATGATGCCGCACGTCAGTAATATTTTTTCTTTTCTTTTTTGGTGTTAAGACATTTGGGTTACTTATATAGGTGTACATATTTTATTTTTTATGACCACCGTTCAAAGGATTGGATATCTATAAAGAGTTTTACACAGAATATATATTCAGGTATTGCAGGAAAGGACCTTGTGATGTTTTAAAGAATAGTGTTGGAGATTTAGCTACACTTAATGTTCTCATATTTATGAAAAACATTTAAAGTTCTAAAGCGGCTGTTTCCTTGAAAAAGACATGACAATGTCATCAGAAACTGAATTGGAAATGACGTTATTTTAATGTAGTCAGTCTGAACTGAGGTGGGCCAGTCTAAGGCTTGAAACTCCAGAGCTGAAAAGGAGTCCCACTCCGGCCCTGATTGCAGGTGTGCTTAGATCTTATAAGAAATCAATAAGACACGCTTGAAACATAGTGTTGTAAATGTGCAATATATAAAGTTTTACACATATTTATATGATAATAAAATTACAGTTATAGTGCAAGTTTTAAGTTCACTTCTAGTGCAAAAGTGTCATGTGACAGCTTCATTGTAATAATGATGCAATACACTTTACCCTCGTATATTGCTACAAAATTAATTTAGCATACATTGTTTTTGATATGGCACATTCTTGCGCTTAGGGCTGGGTGAAAATCTTGATTAATTTAATATTTTAACTCTATTATGATTAATGAGCGATTATTTCATTTATTTATTTTTTTTGTTTTTGCCCTCATAGCTCACTGATACGTTTTGAACAGTAAATATGTTCACATATAACAAGTCAGAGAAGGGTGCTTTACTTGATTTTAAAATAACCGAAGTTTACGCACACTATGTACTATCTATATTTATTTATTGACTGACATAAAACACACATTGCCTAAAACGCGGCTCTCTGCATCGTGCCCGTGTCGTCACCGCTACCATGTAACTGCATTTTTTGTGAGGTGCGTGGATGTGCAAAGGCTGCATCGGACTGTACACATACCATTGCCAGAAGTATAATATCAGAACAATAGGTATAAATCATAATAGAATAACTACAATTTAACCTTAACAGATAGGGGTCACATGACACGGACAAGGTAGGGAAATAATTGAAAAAATTGAGAGGATCTGAATGTTGATTACTTTTAGATTTATAGCCCAGACCTATTTGCGTGCTCACTTTTTGTCACTTACATGCACTCTCAAGTGGCCAAGATTGCAATTGGGGTTACTGGTTTACAAAAGAAGAATTTAGTGAATTGTTGTGAACAAATCCTTTAAGTGAACCCATTCAAGCTATTTAAATCAATAGGCTGAATCTTTGCAATTAGTCTAACTTGGAAAATATCGTGTTACCCTGCTGTCCCTCTGAGACTTCATTTTAGGAAGGTGCTTAATGAAGCAGTATCACCAAGCTAAGCTAGCATAAGCTGTGTTTCTATTCACTGTAGTGGTTGTCATAGATGCAGCCTTGGTTAGATGGCATGCTTCCTCCGCAAATTCAGTGGAAAATCACAGTAAAAAAGCCAAAGTCATTGATGCATGTTGTACTATGATCAAATTACTGGCCTATTTGTTTGTATTCTAAGATTTTATTGATCTTTTAGAGCCATTGTAAAATGCTCCATATGTTTGCAGTAGCCATGTTGCAGTTCTGTAAAATATCTCTCCTATGCAAGTGTGTATGACACTGAAACATCAACCAAACAGATCCCAAATGTGCTTCTGAAAATGTTGAATTATTTAATTGGATAGAGAGCTACAGGTTCATTCATTGCTGCCTGTAGATGGTAATATTGAACAGCATGCTGCTATTGCTAGGTATTCAGAAGTAATGGAGAATGTCATTCACATCCTCAAGTAGCTGATAAAGGTTATAATGCGAGCCACAAATTGAAACATCATTGTGGCACAAAGACCTTGCCGCAGTTTTCGTTACGCTAAGGGTATGTTGCTCACACTAATGCCTTCAAATGGTGTCACAACATCCCATTGACCATCGTCCCATGCCATCGGTATAGTAAAGTAACACTTGCACTGGCTCACTGCCATCACCACCATCACCGAGTGCAAATTTATTAATGCCAGTTTTCCATTCCTGTGGTTTACAGATAAGACCTGAACCATTAGCTTTTATCCTGCCTAAATTTCATGCTCTAGCACTCAGGAGAATTAAATGGCTTTTATGTGAAGGCAGGCTATGATGCCTCCTGCACAGATCGACCCTCTGAGCGCCTGTCTAAAGCTGAAGCTTAGACGAACTTGTATGAGTCACATGATTGTTACATAGCTCCCTGCATTCCTATATTTTTCCTCTACGCATTGAGGAGGCTGTGGCTGGCAGCTTTATGGGAGCTAACAATGAAAGCCTGCTTTGAGAAGTTGCTCACTCATCATTGTGAAGCGCCTCCCACAGGTGTGAGAGGATTGGGTTCTGAATAAGACAAAAAAGCACATATCAATGGAAAATATCTAGGAACTCAGGACCTATTTACACCTGGTAATATATTTTAAAATTATTTTAGTTTCTGTTCCAAGTGGACATTTGTAACCACACGTGTAAATGGGGGCAATAAGTATAGTTTTGAGTACACTTTTGACTGCTTCCAGAGGTATTTGAACAGTCATTCAGTTGAATTTCTTTTACAGCGTAGTAGATGCTCATGTGTTCAAAAGAACAGCCATGAAACCCATTTCAGAACTACTGGGTGTTTTGTTAAAATGCACTTTCCAAAGTAGATTTAAACTTTGTCTTAAATCGAAAGTTTGTTTTGAAGGTCAAAGAAATATGCACTTTAAGGCAGGATAAGTAATTAAGGCAGGATTATTAATCAAAATGAAATTACAAGCACTATTGAGAAAAGCTGTACTTGTCATGCACATCTTGTTAGAGAAGCAAGGCTGTGTCATCAGTAGTAAATGGCCAGAGGGCACTCTTGCTAGAAACTCCAAATATGCATGAAGAAAAAACCCAGGAAATTCTCATAGCATTGCATAGACAGAAGATTTAACTGCTTAGGGTGATTCAGTGTTACTAATAATCACTTCACTGTGGAATCATCTCACAGAAGGATTTATTGTAAACAATTGACTAATGTTGTAAGTAGGCCCATACGGAAGATCCGCAGATTTTTTGCCCATCATTAATTCGGTTTATTTACTTGGGTAAATGTGTGTAAATCTATATTTATTCCGTTTTTTTTTTTTTAATTAATTTCAGTAATATTATTGACTGATGTGAAAATGTTCATCTGATTTATGTACAATGCAATGTGTACAGTATTATTTTCTGTCTTTTACTAAATATATTATATGACAAACTTTCTTTATTTACCAAATAAAATGAATCTAATGGGATTTGCATTTTAAACATTAAATAAAAGTTTAAAAGATATTACCTCTTATTTTATATATTAAGGTTTTAGTTATGATACTTCCAAAATAATTCCACAGAAATCTGCAGATTTTTACCAAAATTCTCAGCAGAAATAGCAAAAAACGTCCGCAGATTCCGTCTGGCCCTAGTTATGAGTAAGTTTTAAGTAAAAAAATGTTGTTGTATTTAGTATTTTTACATGCAGCATTTGTCAGTTCACTGAGAAGCGACACAAACAGCTGTCATTATCCCAAAACGATTGTCTTGACATAATGTCTGCGCATAGATGGATTTGCTCTTTAGTGTTTGAACTCTCAGCAGTGAATATTAAACCACACTTAACTGAACTAAACTGAACTTTAACACTGAAAACTGAACTAACACTTTTTCAATTTACTACAATCTTCTATGTGAACCTGCTTTGACACAATCTACATTGTAAAAGCGCTATACAAATAAAGATGAATTAAATAATAATTGTACTATAAATCAATACAAATTTTGAACAATTGGGGTAGCTTGTCTGTGTACTACGACTCCTTCGAAACGCATGTGCTAGAGGTTTACTAAAACCACTTTACTGAGAAAATGTGCATGAAAATGGCTTTGCTTAATCACCTACACTCAGAAATTAAGGTACGCGAGCTGTCAATGGGGTGGGACCTTTTTTAAAGGTACACATTTGTACTTAAAGGGTCCATATTGGTACCTCAAAAGTATATACTAGTACCTAAAAAAATTTAAGAGGAACACTTTTGTACATTTTAGGTACTATTATGTACCCTTGAGGTATTAATAAGGAACTTTTATATACAAATTTTTACCTTTTGAAAATGTACCACCCCAGTGACATCTTGCATACCTTTATTTCTGAGAGCATAAGGTGCACTCACACAATGCTATCCAAAAAGGTAAAGGTGCAGTGCGAGTGCGGGCCGTCTGGGGAGAGGGAAGGTAGGTACATCTGCGCTTTGTGGCAGTTCAAGGCAACCATGCCTAGTGAGAGTACAGCCCTAGCCTTAAACACTGTGTTCTCTAACCAGTCCTGATTCTAACACAAAGCCATAATGCTAGGCATAATAAGATGCCACTCTCTGTATCATTATCTGCCCATGTACATGCTCATGTCTAAATTTATGGTCTTACTTCCCAATATTAGACTGAAAGATTAGAAAAAGCCCATATAAAGTATACATCAGCCCATAGATACTTATTTTAAAGAATCAAGAAAGTAGTCAAAAGTTGAGTAAAACAAAACATACAAGTGAAAATGCTGGATCTAAAATGTTTCCCTCATCTACTTGTAATCCAGTCAACCAAAACACTTTTTAATACCAAGCGTAAACGGGGCCTCAGAGGCGTTTCTTAGTTTAGAGTGAAAGATCTAGTCCTTGAACTTCTTTGCAGTTCCTTTCATAGTAATGACTGGGTTGGGCTCAGCCAGATCTGATAAGAGCTTTTGAAGAGAACATTCCTGAGGAAGCTCTTTTCCATCTACACTTTCCGGCAAACGTATGCATACAGAAGCCATATTATAATTAAATACAGGACATATCTACAGTGTCATGTCATCATTTATTCAACCACCTGTTTTCTTTTTTCCACAAAATCTTGTCTCAATCTTTCGAGTTAACCTGTAACAATCAAGCCATTGTTATCTGAACAACATTGTTAATTAGGAGCTATTTAAATGTATGTATCTGAAGGCTTTTGTAATACACTTAAGAGCTTTTTTTGTTTTATTTACTTTTCTTTATTTCTCATCTGGCTCTGTTTCAGTAACACTCAAGTATGGCGGACAGTATGATGAGTAAAGCCGCCACAATGGAGATTCCTATTAGCAGTAATGGGGACTCTCGAAATCTGGCAGAAGATGACAGTTTGGAGCAGGTGAGCAATACATGGTGATTCAGTAAAACTGGAACAGTTTTTTTTTTTTAAACAGTGATTTTTGTCAAAAGTAGCCCAGTTTTCCTGAACTTTCCAAAAAAGTTTGACTTTTAAATCTATTACATTTAGAGCTTGAACCATGTCAAAAGCATCAGAATGTGGATGTCTGTGCTTTGTTCCCATGCGTTTAGGTTTTCATAGCTTAAGAGGATAATATCTAGCTGTCCATCCAGTTTGTTTAGCTTGCTTGTCTAAGTTTCACAATATCAGTCTGAGAAAAAGTCTCAAGGTAGCAGGTGATGCAAACATTTAGTTTATAATTGTTCTGCTCTTTTGTTTTTTGAAAATTTTAATCCTTTAGCATTCCTGTAATTAATGTCTTGTTGTACTATGGACAGAAAACTGGAACACTAAGGGGTTAAGCAACCTTTAAAAAATAATGTTCTGATAGACTTGTTAATAAGTAATAGAATTTATTTATAAAAATGCCTTGTGTGGAGACTTAAGTTTGATAAGTAGTAGTAGGCTTATGCAGAACAAAGTGTTCAAATCTCCCTATTCTTGAAGCCATTGTAAATAAAAGGTGGTAATGTTTTCACAAGACACACCTCTTTAGGCCAAATAAACTGTGGCACCGGATCCGGGAGTAGACGTGTTAGGCAAACACAAGCAAGATATTTACTAGGAAGTTTAATTATTCCTATAAGGAACTCAAGGTTCTTTGTTTTAATTTGCTGTTAGCAGTGTTTTTTGTATGTGTGTCAGTCTCATGTCCATTTTATAACCTCATCATAGAAACACTGTGACTGATCATGTTCACAGTTGCATTAATGGCTCAGCTAAAGGCAGATGGCACTGTGTCTTTAAATAGATTTGGGAGAATTGAGCCAGAATGTGAAAAGAGATTTTTTTTAACAGTTCTTGTCATTAAGCAGAGAAAGCAAGTGTGGCTCATTTTTCCTAAATCATCCTTTCGTTCCCTGAAATCTGGAGTGACAGTGATATTTAGCAACCTAATTTATGACATAAAGAGGATTTATTCATCGCTTAATGAGGGCTGAAATTACACACATTACTTTGTCTCTTTTTTTCTTTTTCATTGTCAACCCTTGAAGCCTGTCATCATTGTATTGTGACGATTGGTTAATGGCTTTAAATGTGGATTTTGTTGTGTTTGATAGATTATTTCATCATCACTGTTTCAAAGTTTGTTTCTGTTTTTTACATCGTGCTTCATTTTTGGTTTCTTTTCTTTCTTTTGTCTTTTTGTTGTCATGTTCTTCCCCCGATGTCTGTGCAGGCTGCAAAGATTCAGTGGAGCTTAAGAGAGAAGGTAGGGAGTCCCGCAGGCCTCAGGGTGAGAAGGAACACTGGGAAGGGTTGCCGAGTGTGTGTGTGCTTGCACGTGTATGTCTTTCCAGCAGAAATTGGCTTTAGTTCTCCCTATAACCTTGTCACAATGGACTGGATGTTTTTCAAATCACATGCATTATTTTTTGGCCTCAGTCACTCTTTATCAATCAGTGTTTGAGGTCAGATACAAATCTAAGTGATACAAATTTAGTTTATTTGTTTTGAAAAACATCCTGTTTTGTCTCTCTGTGGTATTAACCAAAGTATAGCAACCTTTTAGTACCTATTAACTTTTTATGTTTGATGGATTTTGTTTGAACTCTCATAATATGTTGTTTTGTTATACACTACCTGACAAATGTCTTGTCGCCTAGCCAAGTTTTAGGAACAACAAATAATAAGTTGACTTCTAGTTGATCGTTTGTTGTCAGAAGTGGCCTATATGAAAGGCAAGGGCCTCTAGATTACGCTTATTTTACCAAAATAAAATATGATCATGCTTTGATTTTTAATTATGTAATTATGACACTAAGGTCTTACTTTGCTTAGACAACAGTCTTGTCACTTAATAGAAATAATATACAGTATAGAATATAAAGTCATGACTCCCATGAGCTTGGATGACTGCATCCATACATCTCTACAATGACTCAGAAAACGTATTAATAAAGTCATGTGGAATGGCAAATAAAGCATTCTTGCAGGACTTCCAAAGTTCATCAAGATTCTTTGGATTTCTCCATCTTACCCCAGACATGCTTGATAATGTTTATGTCTGGTGACTGAGCTGGCCAATCATGGAGCACCTTGACCTACTTTGCTTGCAGGAACTTTGATGGGTAGGCAGAAGTATGAGAAGGAGTGCTATCCTGCTGAAGAATTTGGCCTCACCTGTGGTTTGTAATGTAATGGGCAGCACAAATATCTTGATGCCTCAGGCTGTTGATGTTGCCATGCACTTTGCAGATCTCTCACACGCCCCCATACTGAATGTAACCCAAACCATGGCTTTTCCTTCACCAAACTTAACAAATTTCTCTGAGAATCTTGGGTTGATGATTGGGATGCAGTTCAACAGATGATTCATTGGAAAAATCTACCTTTTACCATTTTTCTAAATGATCAACTAGAAATCAAGTTATTGTTTGTAACTTACAACTGGGATAAACGACAGGACTTTTGTCAGGTAGTGTGTATAAAAGGTGATGATGGTCAGCACAGAACAGGTTGTCATTCTAAACCTCACTTTTTTCCCCTGGGTAGAGAAATCCTGCGTTGAAGCATGTTTAGTGCCACTTTGTGCGTTATGAAATGATGGAATGTTAAAATGTTGCATTTACAAACTTAAGACCCATATGTGTACCTTAAAATTACATCCTTTAGGTAGTCATGGAAACAACTCATTGTATAAAAATTGGAGTGATATTTACTTGTTTTTAGCCTTTAAATTGTTTTTATATTTATTCTAACCTTTATAGTTTGAAAAGTTCATTCACCTTAAAAAAACCTGTTAGCAGTAGGCACAGCAGTATATAAGTGGTTGCACAAGACTTGAGTCTTAATGTAAACTTGCTGTATTCGCCCTTGCTGTTTTCATTGTAATTATTCCCCTATCGATGACACTGGCATTGCAAATATGCAACAAAAGATGTTAATCCAGGAGTTAATGATGTACAGTTTAAAAATAATACATTTAATTCTTAACCCTGCATCAACTGTAAGCAAATTGAAACCAAAAAAGATAACCCAGGATTTCATTTATCTATTTTTTCGAGTGACCTATGGTCAATTATTTGTGTTTTATATCCTAGTAATAACAGCAGATATGTTTCACAATTTGTTTTGGAAAATAAATTAAACTGAACTGTATTCCTTATAGGATAGTTAGTAGGATAGCCACTAAATCAGATTTTAAGGGTCTGAGTTTTTTTTTTTCTTGGTGACTAATCTAGCAAGTACCTCACATTAGATAGTCAGTGTTGCATTTTGTACCAAGCCCTTTGCTCAATAATGCTTGCAATGTAAAGCAATTTAAATAGCTTTGTAGACTGTCAAATATTGTACTTTACGATTTAATTTGCCTTTGTTTCTAAACATTTTTATTCAACTTTTTTTATTAGCAAATAAGGTTTTTGTTGTTTATTTTTAAGGTGGCCCTTTTTCTTGGTTTATGGTGCCCGATAAAATTTAGCACACTGATGCTGGTTCCTAAATGCTTTTATAGTCACTAATGTGACTTGGTTAAGATAGCAAACTGCTGCTTCCATGTGCTGCAACTTCTCTGTAAGCTTTGGCTTTTGGTTTCTTTACATTTTTCAGAGGGATTGTTTTAACAGGTTGTTAAAAAATTGTTGTCATACAAACATAATTCTTATTAATTCTGGGTGAAATGTGATTCTAACCCTATTAATTTACAACTTGTTTGTGCGTGTGTAGAACTTTCAGAATTGGCTCACTTCATGAAAAATAATGCTGGTTGTAATGGTGCATTTTTAAGATCTCGTCCTCTTTCTGATTCTGTCTCTCCAGGACTTGCAGCAGGTAATGGTGTCTGGGCCCAACTTAAATGAGACCAGCATCGTATCAGGTGGTTACGGCGGTACAACAGAAGGCATCATTCCAACCAGCTCCATCAAAGGTATTGCAGGCAGTCGTTCTTTAGCTTTTCACAAGAACAACGCAGTCTCATCGAGCAAAACTGTTTATTTTTAATATGTTAGGCTAAAGAAATTAGTCTAATCAAGCTGGTGACTTTTTAATCTTTTGGTGGTGTTTTGGTGTATTTTCTACTATCTGACACATGCGTTCTGTAGAGGTTTGGTTTAAAATGTGCAATTTGATTTGCATAATTTCCTCTTTGGCTTTTTCCCTCCTATCTCTCCTGTGGTGCAATCCAGACGAGAGCCAGGGCCTCTGGAGGCATTGGCCATTGTGTGTATAGGTAGTGTGTGAGTCATGCTTAATGGCTTTAAAGTTTGACATTAACCAGAGTGAATAGGTCACAGATTCTTGGAGATGAATGAACTTCAGTTTAGAGTTTGTTTGTTTGTTTGTTTGTTTGTTTGTTTGTTTGAAATAAATGTCCTCTTTAATGAAAAAAGGTCAACTTTTATGAAGTCACCCTGACTAAGTCTAATTTTTAATTCAGTCCAGCTAATAGCCATAAGTTGCTGATGTGGCAATAAATATGTAATAAATAAATTCAGTCCAGCTTTTTTCTAGACATGTTATGTAGCAAACTGATTGTAAGTAATCTTGAGCCCTTGATATTAGTGTAAATCTATTCCTTTCTGATTCAGTGAGGACTTTCTGTGTCTTGTACTCTTTCTTAGGCCCTGCAGTCCGTATTAATACTGATTTTCTGGGCAACAGACGCATTCCAAATGAAGGGCAAGGTCATTTGTATCAACTTCTCATGATGCCTTTTTTCATACTTTTTTCCCCAAATACATTTTTCTCAGGGCTTGGGATGCTGTTCTGCAGGAATAAATTAAATCTCTTCTGTTTTTCTGGCTTTCAATTTCTCTCTTAGCAGATTGGAACGGGCTGCATTTCTCTTTCAAGATTTTCTTTCTTTCCAGGGTTAAGGTTGCCTTGCAGAAGTTTGTAATGAGGCATCTTTTAAAAATTACTTTCGGAAATCAGTTTGAAAGTTTAATCTGGCTTTATTATTGCTGAGGAAATGATTAGGAATAAATCTGCTGCAGAATGGCTGGGTGTAAAAAAAAAAAGTGTAATTAAGATGTTTTCAGGACAGAACAGTCTGATACTCAAGTCCGTTTTTGTGTAAATGAACACATGCTACTAAAAATAAATGAACCGACATATTGGGGTTTAAAAAAACTGTTGTGTTATTTTTAAATGAAGTGTGAAGTGAATTATCTCCATCTGTTTGTCATAAGGCAGCAGGTTTAACAAAATAGCAGTCGTGTGCTTTCCTGTTTTCATTTCATCTCATTACAATATCACCTTTTCTCTTTGATCCTCTCTTTTTTCCCTTTCCCCTCCTTCCGTTCTCCTGCTGTTCCTTCACATTCACACACATATGCACTGGCATTATTCCCATACACTTCACACTCACATGCGATAATCCATTTCATTTTAAAAAAATTATTCCTCCAATTATTTTTTTAAACTTGCCATATCCACTCCCTGCTCCCCATTACCCAACAACCCCTGCTATCCCTGGCCATGACCCCTCCAGACCTCCGAATGAAGTCCAGGGGTGTTAGCATTGCCCCAAGCCAGATTGCAGCCTGCCGAATAGCCAGCCAATCAGATGACATCCTCTGTATCCCAGGTATCCTGAAAGGGCGTTGGCCCCTTCAAGCGCTCTTTGGCAACACATCCCCCCAATTCAGTAAAACACATTCATATGTTCTCTCATCTCATCTGTTTTACATCTCTTTGATGCAATAATGGCCATAACATTGGTGTAAACTGTTATAGATGTTTGTACAGTGTGTGCACATTCATAAAGACTTACTGTAATCATTTTATGTTTATCAGGGTCCAATATGGATTATGTCGGTAGCAATTCCTCAATGGCAGCAGAAGAAGCCACAAGAGGCGTTGCTGTGGAGAAATTTGACATAATGAAGAAATGGGGTCTGAACACATACAAGGTTTGTCAATTAACTGTTGATGTTTCTTATTAGATGTCATGTGCTGTTATTACATAGCTGCCTTGAGTGCTCGATTCTGATTGGCTAGTTTTCACATTCCAAGATATGTTATTCCAAGATGACAACCGCTAAATAACACAGGCTCATCCTGGAAATTTAAATCACCTTGTCTGTCAGTGAGCACGAATTCATATCCATATACTTGCATCCTCATTTATATATATTTGTCTGTTATGCTGCTGTTATTGACTGCATAGCGCAGTCTTTTGAATGAATAATACTTGGGTTATTACGATTTTCTCAGTTTAGTTTCTGTCAACTTTGTTTTTGACTGTTTGGCACCATTTTGTGACTGAATAATGCGCAAGTTAGTGTACAGTCCATCAGCTGTTTTCGTTTCTGTCAGCTTTGTGTTTAATTTACGACTTAACAAACTATTTTGGCTCAGAACAATGTAAGTAGGATAAAGTACATCCAGAATGGTTGTTTTTTGCAAAATAAAGACCTTCAGTCTTCTACAAAAGCCACTTCATGTATGGCTGCTGATAAACCTATCAGCCTTTATTAAAGACTATAGAATACATAAGACATATCACTCTGTCGTTTTGAATGGGGGTGTAAAAAAAATTAAAAATAAAGCCTGCCTTCAAGTACAGGAGCCAATCATAGATCGTTATATGGCAAATAAGGCCCATCTTTTAGTACAGGAGCCAATCATCGATCGCTATAGACTAGGGATGCACGATATATCGGCGCCCATATTGTTATCGGCCGATAAACGCTATTTTTAAGATTATCGTTATCGATCCGATGTCATAATTAGGCCAATATATTTAAGCCGATAAATTACGAAATTGTACAGACCTGCATGCCGCGCTTGTGTGGACGGAACATGTTCAGACTTGTCCAGTGCACTATGAAGCTCTCCTCACACTGTTTATTCCTTTAAAGTCTGTCCTTTCTTCAAGTGGTATTGCTGTGCGTTAATAACTCAGTAAGTAAACACGTTCCTTATCATTGTAGATATGCTTGATTGAGAGTCATTGTGTATTTTGCTTTAAATCGCCTCAGGAAAAATATTACATGTGTAAACCTTTCCTGCTATGTCTCTTTGTTGTGTTAAGAGATATCAGGAGAGATTCACTTATTACTCCAGGGCCGTTGCAGCTGGTGAATGAAAGAGGACACGTGTAACTTGGTCAAAAATATTAATTACTTTCCGTGTGGTACAACAAATAAGTCACCAAAGAGGAAACATCACAGAAAATGGTCTCATTGCTTAAAAACCGCTCCTCGTTTCTCTCTCCCTCTGTCTCACACACACCCCAAACCCAGCCCCGTTGAAGGACCTGCACATTTTACAACACCTATAAACATAACTGTTGTTTGTAATCTGATTATTTGTTATTATCAACGCGTTGCTGGTCATGTGTTGTTGATGTAAGATGTATTCAGTTTGATCGGAATATTCATATTGATTATAACGAGGGCGAGCTGTCACCGCACACACACTGGAGCACGGGGGAGAGGCGAGAGGTGAATCCAGTCAAAGGGGCTCTTAACTAGCCGCTCATCCTGTCTTTATATTCTGCTCTGTGTTTGTCATAAAGTCAGCTCAATGCAGGTTTTGTATCAAAATCTGACTCTGATGGCAACTCTGCCTCTACAGTTGAGTAAAACTCTCAGCGGTTTATCATAAACTTTACATCGATCATTTTCCCGCGATTGACGGCAAGGATGAGCGCAGAAGCGTCTGATTGACAAGCAGCAGTATTTAGCTGTTGGCTTGTACCGTGGCTCCAAACTGTCAAAACACCTCTGATAAAGGCTTTTTTAGACATGACATATTTGTACATGTGTACATCCCTGTAACATGTTTTATTCATGACCATTTGAGCTGGTTTCAGTCCTTAGCTCTTTCATTTTCATCTTAAATATATTTATCTTGCTTGTTAATTAAATACCATTTTGTTATTTAAACTATTATTTTTATGCAACAATAAACTTGCATTTTAATTTGCTATGAAGAAAAGGAAATAATTTTTTTGCATGCTGATTTATGTGAAATGGTGAATTATAGGTCTATAATCACCTTGCAATTTTGAAGTTATAGCTTTTTTTGCTTTGTGTATAGGCTATTCAGTTCATAAGAGCAGTTCAATTTTTTTGAAGTTTGCTGTATAAACATATAACAATTTAAAATATTTATGATTATCGGCCTATACATATCAGCTATCGGCCTCCAAGTCTGAAGAATTATCGGTTGTCGGTATCGGCCAAAAAATCCATACCGGTGCATCCCTACTATAGACTGACAATACTCTGGGACAGGGGCTTAGACCAGATGTTAGTTTCTGCTAATTTTATGTGATTTGAAAGTTTAGAAATGAAACTAAAGACACAGTTATTTAATTTTATTGGTGATTTCTAATATGAAATTCAATCATAGGCTTGGAGTTTTGGAGAATTTGAAATTTCCTTATTTAAGCAGAGCATCCGAGCACACTGCCCTAAAGCCGTTTCAAAGATGGACCAGGGACTCTGGTCCCCTGGGCTATGCGCTGGTTGGGAAAATTCCAAATTGAAACAAGACAAACCATTACAATTTGCTTAGGATTGGCTATCAAAGACATTGCAACCTGCAAAACCTGGGTTTAAAAAAAAAAAAATATGCAGATTCAAAGATGGCCACCGAGTGAAATGACTTGTTTTAAAGGGACTTTGGCTTTATTCTGTGATAACAACCACCTGAATTTTCTTTATCCTTAGTTTAGCAACACTTATTTTGAAGCCGTTTGTATTTGTGATCTTTCTCTTTCTCTCTCAGTGCACCAAACAAATGATCTCTGAGAGGTTTGGCCGAGGATCACGTACTGTGGATTTGGAGCTGGAGGCTCAGATTGAGGTTTTGCGGGAAACCAAACGGAAGTACGAGAATGTGCTGCGTTTAGCACGAGCGCTAACCAACCACTTTTACAGCATGGTGCAGACGCAACACGCCCTTGGAGACACTTTTGCCGACCTCAGTCAGAAGTCCCCAGAACTTCGGGTGAGCCAGTGTGACCATCTTAAAGTTTATGACATTTGTTGTTACTGCCATGGAAAATTATGGGACTGGTGTAAATACATTTACTTATTTTAAGCTGTTGCTGAATGTATCATTCAAACTGTCAGTATTAAAAATATATTGTGCTAAAAAAAGACTGCTAAAATCCCTGCTAAAAGACACGTTTCCCATTTATACAAAAGATTAGTAACTAATACTGTACAAAATACAGATCGTGTTAAAGGAAAATGGGAACTAGAACTTAATACTATAATAGTGAATGAGGTCTGGATTGAGTTATGTGAAGGATGTCATAAAGAAACTAATAGTCAATTTTGGAAAGATTTTAATTGGAAAGTAAAAAATAAGGTACTTTAAATTCCTTTTGTAAATTCTACATATGTAAAAGGACCATCTGTTGCTTTGTGTTGGAGGAAATGTTGTAAAATTGGAGACCCACATTTTTTGGGACTGTCCTAAGATTCAAGAATTTTGAAAAAATGTAAAAAAATAAAATAAAAATATAAGATATTAGATATAGAAATACCCTTTGATCCAGTTGTGTGCTTACTGGGAGCACTGTCCAAAGAAATGTTTAATGAAGAAACAAGATTTGGACTAAGAATATTATTACTGGTTGCAAAAAATAATAATAATTATAACAGTGCACTGGATAGAAGAAGGTTCTCCAAATGTGTCTCAGTGGATTCAGACACTTAAACAGGCCTATCCGATGGAAGAAAATGACTGCATGTCTACAAAGGAAGACTGATCTTTTTCTGAAGAGGTGGAAAAGTATTACAACATATTTAGATATGTACATTTAGAGGTTTCTTAACCTATAATCAATGTAATTTGAGGTAACTACAATGTAACACAATGTAACTTGATGTACAAATGTACCTTGAAATGTACCCTGAAAAGTAATTATAATGGCAGTACCTTTTATTCATTTATTTATTTATTGTTGTATTATTTTTATTTTATTTATTTATTTAGTTTATGTATTCCCTCATCTGTAAGGGTTTAAATTGTTGGGCAAGGGGTTGTTCTGGAAAAAATATATATTGAGAAAACATAAATCATTTTTTTTTTTTAATTAACAAAAATAAAATAAAAAAATATATATAATATAAATATAAATATATATATTGATAATGTATAATATTGAGGTTTGTGCTATTGTTCATGTACAGGATGAGTTTGGATACAATGCAGAAACGCAAAAGTTGTTGTGCAAGAATGGAGAGACTCTGCTTGGTGCCATCAATTTTTTTGTGTCCAGCATCAACACACTTGTGAACAAAACGATGGAAGACACACTGATGACTATCAAGATGTATGAGAATGCCAGGTAAAAGCTGCTCCTGCTCTATCCTCTAGTATTGTAGCTTTCATTTGTTTTGAAATGCTCTATTGTGTTTTATTTATTTATGTATTTTTAACCTCTGATGCTACTGGATGTTATGGTTATTATGTGTTGCAGTTGTTTGGTTTATCATTGAATATTGGCATTGATACCTACCGATTGGAACTCTAACTCAGTCTTTAGATTAAAAATAAAAGGGCGGTAGGATATCCACTTTCACAGTTATCTATTTTGTATGGTTCAAGCTGAGACCTTTGGAAACATTTGATGCTGTTGTGCTGTTACTTGATGTACCTACTTCTGCTTAGCTGTCTACATTTAAGGTATTTCCACACCTGGCTCGTTTGGAAAATTTGTTTTTGGAGCCCTGCTTATTTTCTCTTGTAGATTGATTTGTTTGGGTATATACAAACATGGTAATTGCACTTCAGGCCAATAAAAATCAAAGATCATAAGAACAAGGTAGTTAAACTAAATACTCCTTATAATTGGTAAAGCTGTAAAATTAATGTCATGCATTGTTTCTGCACTTAGTGTTTATGATGAGTGAATTTGTGCTTGTGCTGAATTTAATTCAGTGAGCACAAATAACACAACATACCCCAGCATTTTAGTGGTGACTAATCTAAATGTCTCGCTTGTGTTCGCAAGCTCAGCAGAAATGTTTGTTAAGCTCAGAAAATGCACAAAATAATGCAAAAAAAAAAAAAGCAAACAAACTTCTAAACAAACAGATTCATGATTATGAAATATGAATGTTGCATGAAACACAGCAGTGTTTGTTTTGCTAAGGTCTTTGTATGCAAGTTACTTAACCTTAAATTATACATTTAAATGATTAATTGAAAATTTGTTTAAAAATCCAAAATAAAAATAATAATAATCCAGAGGCTTGATTCAAGCTTAAAATGCTGAAGTATATAACAACAGCTAGAACAGAAACTACAATAAGCAGTAAAACAATTGTTCATTCATCCTGAAGGATTATTGATACATTTTGTTAAAGACTCGGACTGATAATAATTAGCTTTTTGAAACAAACACGTTTTGCATTATTTTTGTAGTCTTATCATGTAAAACTATATCTCATTTTAAAAAGGCTAACTGTAAATGTAATTCATTACATGGCCAGTGCTTGAGCATAAGGCTCTGTCATTGGGGCTTTAGGCCATGGTAAAAGTAAATACATGTTGTTTATACATGTTTTACACTGTGTATATTCAATTTTGTTTGCTTAACAAACATTTTAGAGCATCAAAAGTTATCATGTGAAAGGTTTTGGTGGCTATATCTCAGGAAGAAAAGGCATTTGTTTTCTAACGTTGCTTTGTTCTGTAGGCTGGAGTTCGACGCGTACAGGGCAGATCTGGAGGAGTTGAACATGGGCCCACGGGACGCTGTTACTATGGCTCGTATCGAGGCTGCTCAGCAGCAGTACCAGATCCACAAGGACAAATATGAACGTCTCCGCAGTGATGTCACCATCAAAATTAAGTTCCTAGAAGAAAATAAGGTGCCAGACCACCTGCATAACTTCCTCTGCAAGTCCTGTTGCTTTTTGTTTTCTGACACGGTGTGTTTGTCTCTCTTCTACAGGTCAAAGTGATGCACAAGCAACTTCTGCTGTTCCATAATGCCATCTCTGCCTACTTTGCTGGAAACCAGCAGCAGCTGGAACAGACCCTCAAGCAGTTCAACATTAAACTCAAACCACCAGGGGCCGACAAACCCTCTTGGCTGGAGGAACAGTGAAAGTGCTCCATTACCCCTGGTTTCCTGTTGTATTTCTTTAGCCCCGCAGAGCAACACAGTAGGACCCTGAGAGACCAGCGATCTGAGATGCTAGAAGAGACAAGGCTCCAACAGAGAGCCCCTTTCACACTAACTCTCTTTACACTTCTCTTCCTTTATTCTTCTTCTCATCCTATTCCTGCTCTGAGACTGTTTTCAAGTGTCTGAATTGTGACCAGTCCTTAAAGCTCCAATCAAATGTCAAGGGTATCCAGTGCAAGCTTCATCCTTATAAATGTCATTAAACCGACTGAAAAAAAAACTTCTGATATATCAGTCAGAACAGCAGACAATTGTCAATATTCTCTCTGTCAGTGACCACATTTCAACGAACGGTTTCCTTTTTTTATTCTTTCCGTTTAAACTATTTGATTTCCTTTTATTTTATTTTAAAATCTCATCTGTCTTGTAGCTGATTAAGGATGCATATCATTCCTTTCACAGAGTTCCAGTGGTTCAGACTAAATGTAATTTTATTTTGTTAAAATCCAGAAACAGATTTGTCTGATATCTGTATTGCATCCTTTGTACATTTACTTAGCCACATGAATACCATAGAGTCAATGCTTGTTCAGTTTTGTCTTGTTTTTATATATATATATATATATATATATATATATATATATATATATATATATATATATATATACTCTAAAATATTACATTTAATATCTTAAAATGAGCCCCATTTTAAGTAATATTAAACTTAAATAAATAATTCTTTGAACTTTTCTGGACAAACTTTCACCCAATGTGGGTGTGTAGTTTTTTGCACATTTTAACAAAATTCCAAATTAAAGGATGAATCTAAAAATCACAGTCTTCAGTCAATATCGTTGTTTTGGAATGAAGAAGGATTTTTTTTTAAGCAATTTTTGATTTGTTCTGACAATTATAGTTTACTGTAGTATTATGTACCGATGCATAATGCTGTAGAAAGTTTGAAGGTTTATTATAATCATTTTGAGTTCACAATCAAAGTTAATCAAGGAAGTATATGTATGAGTTTAGTTTTTTTTTTTTTTTTTAACATGGGCCAATGGTTGTGACCCATATTATCTGCCTCTTTCTCTATGTGCACTAAAATTTATGTACTGACTTGTATTCTGTCAGGATTAGAAAAAACAAACAAAAATAATAATATTCTGCCATTCTGAATTCAAATGCTGTCTTGCCTGTTGGTTCTGATGCATCCTGTTTAATCCCTTGTACCTGCCTAGGAAAAAAAATCCAAAATGAAGGTTTTATGTGCCCTAAAACACCATCATAGCATTTTACACGTCATAATATTATTAATGTATCTTTCCATTAACCCAAAACATTATTTTACATAAAAAATGGTACAAATGTATTTTGTAATTGCACATATTACAATTTCATAATAACATTAGTTTAATGCATTTTAATATGGCATAATCAGATAAATCTTGCATATAGCATTTCACCTAAAATAGTTGTTTTTCCCTTAGAAATTGTTTTTTTTAACACTATTTGACCTTTCTTTCCCTTTGAAATTGGTGCCCCCCACTCCACTCCAGCAATCTTAAAATACACTTTGTTGCTTCTTCTCTAAACAGACTGCTGTTATAAGATCTAAAGTGCAGGCTGTCCTATTACTTTGTCACTATTTTTTTTTAAATGTTATGTAAAACTGAAATAATGTGTATGATCTAATGTTCAGCACTTGTGAACATTGCACTAAATCTTTTTAAGCTTGAGATGAAGCAATACTGAAGATGTTTTTAGAGTGTATTTTCATGTATGCCTGTATTGGACGTTCCCTGTGTGTTTTTGCATGGCTGGTCTGATGTCATCCGATGTACATTTCCATGCAGTGAGATTCAATCCTCTTCAGTGTTTCAGTTAAACACTGTGGGTAGTAGTGCGAGAAAATACTGTTTCTAGGAAGAAAGAGAATGATTTCTTGAGAATGTTAAAGGATGCTTGAAATTGTTTTGAATGTCACCTGCTGAACATCATGTTTTTTCCATTTAAAAAAAAAAGGTGTTTCATAACTCCATAACCACAGAAGAGAGACTATAATGGGCTTTGTTTTTGATGTTTTTTTTTTTTTTATAATCTTGACATTTGTTGGGCAGTAGATTTGTAAGTCAGTGTTTCTTTTTTTTGTCAGAGAAAAGTATCTTACACCCTAGAAAGACTGAATTGATCCATGAAGTGATTCTGTTCCAAAGCAACAGGATTTTAAATTTAGACCTCCTCAACACTAAACCTGATATACATTTGTCCCAGTACATTTCTGTTTCTTTTAGATAAAACAAATTCATCCATTACATTTGTTTGTTGTTGTTATTGTGCATTATAATCATTATTATTATAATTATTTTGATTTATGTTAACCAGTGTTTGACTTTGCTTACTCCGATAGTAGGCCTGGTTTTAGAATGCAAAATGAAAGGGTTATAAATATTACCGTATTTATGTACAATCAATATTTTAGGCTGCTTTCTGATATTGTAGTGTATGAATGACTGTATATATGTAAAGATAAGTCAGATTTTGAAACTGGAATCCCAGGAAGTTAGCCTTTGACCAAACCTTTGACCAACAAAAAATGAACAAGAACCCACCAGATAAAATTTGAAAAGTTTGCAAACGTTGTCTTTGTGTCAATTTGTGCTTGTCCTGTTTTGCCTGGTCTGTTTGAAGCTGATTGTCTTCTGTCTTAAATGTTGTACTCTTTCATCAATAGAACTGAAGTCAAGAGTCAGTCAGAATATTGACCACTAGGGGGTAATGTTGAATGTGATGCTACAGAGATCTCTAAAAATAATACATTTATTTCAATAATTAATCTTTAAATAACTGGATAATTAGAAAGTAATAATGAAATTCATTATTAAAAGGATAGCTCACCCCTGTCATTTTCTCACCCTCCACTTGTTCAAGGCTTGTTTGAATGTTTCTTCTGTTGAACACAAAATAATATTAAATTCAATGGCTAAGAGTTTTCAAAAAAAAAAAGTATTCAAAGTTACTTAATTTATTTAACAGGAAATAATAAACTCATAAAGGTCTGGAACTACTCGAGTGTGAAGTAACGTAACTTAAATGGTCGTTTTCAAGCTACTTTTGACTATCCCGTTAACCGTCGATAACCAAATATTACTACAATAAAACATATCTATATTAACCACAAAGACAATAGAGGATCTAATAAACTAATAACGACCTAATAACGTTTTTGAATGTATACATAGCGTTTTATAAATAAAAATGACCCGACGTCTTACCTTTAACGTTAAATGTAAGCAGGGCTTTCTTTGTCAGTTAAGACCGTTACAATTCAAACTGTGGTCGCGAGATCTGATACTAAAATAAATGTACATAGGCTAATGACCCAGCGTGTAGTTTCCATCTTTAACTATTATTTATGTGTTTTGCTTCCGAAAGTATTTTAAGTAGCAAAGGTGTGAGTTGCTCAGGTAAGGGCAGGATGCAGCTCGTGAGCGCGCGTGAGGGGGTGTGGCTGCTCCCATCCATTAAAGTGCTCGTGCTGGAAGTTGATGGCGTTTGACATGTGGATTATCTGTTGACTTTCTCCGGCATGGACGTCGGTTCATTGAGCGTTCACCAGCAGTCAACCTGATATTATTTGTCCACCGGTACGTATATTGGAAAACAAATTACTTTTGCCACTTTCTGTGGCTTTGACATAGTGTTTAAATATTTAGTTGTCTTTTAATTACTTGTTTGTGTCATGCATTACTGATGACAATGTATTTTCACCATTATTTTGATCCATCTGGGCTCTGAACTGTTGATCCTTGTTAACCTTTTTGTTTTTTAAAAAGTCGAATAATGTAGAGATCTAAATGTATTTGTTTGCTCTGCATGTTCTGTAAATGTGCATCTTGAATTGCTGTAACGTTAGATTAAGTAGTACACAGTGTAATTATGTAAACATAATATATGTATGTCTTAGATATATAAATATTTTAAATTAATGTCAACCAGCTATACTAATTATGTATATATTAATAAAATACCAAACGTGTAGGTGTAGTTACCACTGCTTAATTTATAATGTCTGTTTTGTTGGTTTTAAAAAGAACTAGTGGTCCCTGTTTACCTCTACTTGTAATTTATTGCCTTCTATTTAAATTTAAGTTACGCTTGAAGAAATATCCCAAAAGCACAATAGAAACCAATAAATCCTGAGCCTTAAAAGTTGAGAGCTTGTAAAACAGTTGTAGTAGAAAACATTCAAATTCAAGTAATTTTATATTAATTTTTTTCTAAAGGGGTGTTAAAAGTATAGCTTTAAATGTTGGACATGTAGCTTCCATTGCAGGTTTAAGCATTACACAGTCAGTAAAATAAAAAAATAAGGAGATCAAAGTATGTGTGATATGCAAAGTAGTCTCTATGCTTGATCGTTTTAATGAAATGGTTTGTTTATCTGCCTGTTGAAGTTCCTAGGCAAATTGGTATTGTAAAGAATTATCTTGGTTGGCTCGCATAGCTACCTTTTTCAAATAAGCAACTTGCTATACCTGTTCGTTTTAACATTGGGTATATTTGTTTGTGAAAAGTTCAGATGCAAAAATTTCTAAAAGCCATTTAAAATGTCCTTCAAAAATGAGCAGTTTTCTCAACCTCCTATTTTTATTTTAATTTATTTCACTTTACAGATTATGTAAAAACCCTATTCATCGACATAAAAGTAAATTTACTAAACCAACCCAAAAGAGCCTGACAAAATGCTCAATTGTAGAAGAAAAGTTTAGGTGGCATTTAGAGGTTTTTGCATCTGAACTCTTCATGCATTGATGTAAAAAGTTCACACTCAACTGGCGTGGTTACTCTGGCATAGTTTGACAGAAATATACAAAGAACGCAAAATATTAATTTCTGTTTTGACTGAAGATGTTTTATAATAATTTTCAGATGTTAAAAACATCATATGCACAAACTATGCACCTACAACAAGCATTTAACCCAATGTTGCTTTGCGTTGTTTTTTTCGTTCTATTGAAAAATATAAGTCATATACTGTAGCAAACAAATTTTTGTCCCAGCCAAATTAACTAAGAAAACTAAACCACGATTGTGAACACACTGTTACAATACACAGTTTGACTTTTCTAGGTATATGTTACTGATGGTAAAAAAATTTGGATGGCTTGGATTCCTTCTTTTTATGCTTGTATATCTGTATTTCTATCAGATCCCTCCAGTGAACTGGAATTAAGTCCACTATATATCCACATTGTGTCCTCCAATGGATGGCGCATCAGTTGTAACCACAGCATCTCTACCTCCTG